TGGCTTGCTTTACTGAACTCAAAATGAAAGTCATGGCAATTTTAATGCTGTATTGGCTGGTAGTAATTCACTTTCTTGGCTCTTAGGATCTTTTAGCTGTTGGTTATGGGCAGTTTCGTTTTCAAGAGCAGAAGAAAGGCTTGGCATGCTGCTGGTCACTGAAAAACCCTATGGTAATGCACACATTTAAAATATTAAAGTTTTAATTGAATTGGTTGCATGTTTATTGTAAACGCTAACGATGAGTTAGTAGCAATATATTTTTTATGCTTGCTTAATATCAAATCAGGTAGTATATTTATAATCTCAGACCAATGCATATCTGAAGCCATAACAAAACTTTTAGTAAAATCCAGATGATTCATTGACAGCCTGCCTGTCTTTTGAAAGACAGGCAGTTTTATAAGCTATCTTATTCAGTTCATATTATCTCAGAAGTACGATCTTACCATTATCGTTTAGAAATTGTTTCCTAATTTTATTAATTATTTAAAAGCATTATGGTTTATTAACATTATTAAAATAGCTACATTTTTAGGATGTAAACTTCTAAGATGCAAAACAAATGTTATTTAAATTAATTACTAGGGCTTACCGTATTTATCGGCGTATAACACGCACCGGCGTATAACACGCACCTTCATTTTAAGAGGGAAATTTCAAGAAAAAAAAAGTGCCAGCTCGGGAGCGAAAGCAAAAGGGGAGGGGGAGTGGGGCTTCGTTCACACGCGGATCCCCATGCTCGTATTTATTTACCGTATTATGCCCCGGCTGGCGGCGGCGGTGGCAGCAGAAACAGCAGCCTCCTTCCTCGGTTAGCTCCGATTCCCTCCCCCCGTGTCGCCTCTGAGCTGCAGGACTCTGCCGCTTGCTTTATAAATCCTTGGCTGCTGCTCCATCTTTTCTTTTCCCACCAACCGCCCCCCCTCCCTCGACCCCTCCCGCTTTGCAGAAACGCCTGGATAGTGAGAAGCTGGAACCGGGCGGGCAGAAAAAAAGGGGGGGAAATCCACACACGCTCGCGCAGGGAAAGGGGAAAACGGGTGGGCCGGCCGGCTCCCC